ATGACTGTTGGATTTAGCATCATGGAGATCCATGGTGACCTTGATAGGTCCGCCTTTAGGACATGCTATAGGGATGGAAACATTGTTCAAAATAAGAAAGTGGGGAGCGGGTTTGCTCTGAAATGCTGGAGAGCAACAGGTGGTAGGGGGCAGATGGCAGAGTCCTGGACCCTCACAGGACACTGTCAAACTCACACATCCCCCTGCACTGACCCATACACAGAAGCACCCGGACCACCCCAGCACTGAGCCTCAGCAACGATTTTCAGGGGCCAGGACCCAATGAGTAAAAGATGGTGTCTGCCCTGTGGCTTTGCAACTATCCAGAAACCACATGGCTGAGACCTCCAGAGCTGGCTCTGCTCCTATCATCTGTATGCTCCTGGGCTAGTCACCGAACTTCTCTGTACCTCGGTTATCTCATTCTTAAAATCAGGAAGGATCATGCTTTCCTCATCCGCGGCTCTGAGGATGAAATCGTCTTCCAGCCATGCCTGGAGCAAAGATGTCTCTGAGCATCCAATGCAGGGTTAGCTGTCTATCAAAATGAGTAGTGGGGCGCCTGGTGGCTCAGTTGGTTAAGCGACTGCCTTCGGCTCAGGTCATGATCCTGGAGTCCCGGGATCGAGTCCCACGTCGGGCTCCCTGCTCAGCAGGGAGTCTGCTTCTCCCTCGGACCCTCTTCCCTCTCGTGCTCTCTATCTCTCAAATAAATAAATAAAAAATCTTAAAAAAAAAAAATGAGTAGGAGGTAGGGTGATCATGTTACTGATCTTCCCAGGTTTGGGGGCACTTTTGAGAGTAAGGTGGTGATGTTAATTACATTGGGGCCACAGGTGTGAACCGGAACAGTCCTGGGAAAATGCCATGTATAGTCACCCCTGTGTTAGTAATATCAGTTCTTTGGAGACAGTGAGGGCTCAGGCCCTGGGGTGACTAAGATCCCAGGACTCCCAGGGAGGCCAGAAACGCTGGGGGTTCTCCAAGGAGGCTGGGAAGGCTCCTTGTCATAGCACACTAATAACCATGACAAAGCGTCCTTGTGCCCAGAGCCCAGCCCCCTGCAGCCCAGCTGCAGGCCCTCCTCTTTCCGCAGAGCGTCTAGGGCCAGGGATCTCTGCCCCCAACACCCCCACCCCCACAGGATCAGCCCCTGGGCATAACTCAGGCAACAACCTCTCCCTACCAGCCCTCACCCCTAGACAAATGACCCCCCATCTCCCTTCCAGGCTCCGGATTCGCCGTGCCCCTTCCCTTGTGGACGCAGAGTCTGCGCCCCACTTGGTTCTCCAAAGGGCACGTGCTTCCTCGGAGGACGCAGCGCCCGAGCCGGGCGCTGCAGTGGAGGGCCGTTGTGCCGGGAGGGCCGACCCCCACAGTGCCCCCCCCCCCCCCGCCTCCAGCCGGGTCCAGGCCCGGGCGCCGGGCGGGGACAGTGATGCGCAGGGCGCGGGTACGGTAGCCGTGGTAACGCGTGTGGGCGAGTCAGGATTGCAGGCCGTCCCGGGCCACGGCACTTCACAGTTTAGAGCGCCTCCCGCCCCTGATCTCATTGGAGCCTTGGCCATAACCCTGCCCATGGCCACCGATGCCCCCATTTCCCACATGAAGAAACCGGGGCTCGGAGCAGCGACGGGGCCCTCGGAAGGCCGCCCCGGCAGCGGGTGGCGGCGGCACTAGACGCGGACCCCCCGCGGTCTGACGGGCTCCCAGGCTCCTCCCGGACCTTCCCCTCTCCGCACCGCCCCGGGCTGCGCCCGCCTCCCCGCCGCCGCGCGGGGCTCCCGGACGCGGGCTCCCAGTGAGTGCGGGGCGGGGGCCCCGGGACCCGAGCGCTCCCGGGCGGGGTTGGGAGGGTGCAGGGGTCTCCCCTAGCACCCCCACTGCCTTCTCGCCGCTCGATTCTGGGCGGGGTGGGGGCTCCAGGGGCTGGAAGGCTCCGGGACACCCTGCCCTCCCACGTCCGCAGGCTCGAAAGCTGCCGGGGATGGAGGGGAAACTGGGGAAGGGGGTGCGGCGGGTGGAGGAGGAAGGTAAGTTGAGGGGGATGGTCGCGGCGGGGGCATTGTGGAGTGTGGCGGCAGCTCGGCCAGACTTGGTCCCCGGGCTAGGAAAAAGCGGATGGCTGGGAGGTGGTGTTGGGCGCCAGCCGGGGGTGATCAGACTGGCTCCACCAGTCCCGGTTCTGGGCTTGGAGGGAAATTCTTTGCAGGTGAGTCGAGTCCCAGGGGTGTGTCAGGCGGGACTGGACAGACAGGACCGGAAGGTGGAACGTGAGGACCCAGAAGGGGGCTGCACCCTGATGGGTGTCCGGTGACAGGGCCCCTCTTCTCTGAGGGCTGGCAGTCGGGGCTCCAACCACCACTTGAGTTTTTTTGAACTCCCACCAGGTGAGTGGCGGCTGGCAAAGGAATGGTCTTGTGATTCTTACAACAGCTCAAGAAAGTAGGAAATCTTTCCCTTCAGAGAGAAGGAATGGAGGTTCAAACTATCAAGGGATTCTTGGAAGTGACCGGGCTAGTAAGTGGCAGGGCTGAGGCCTCGGTGCTCAATGCACATTCCACTGACCCTCCCCAAAGGCCAGGTCTCATAGGGGCAAGTGGGGGAGAAGAGGAGGGTCTCCTGGGATGAGGTCTTCAGTCACACCGTCCTGTTGGAGATTCCCAGAGAAGAGGCATCAGGAGAGCCAAGGTGTTGAGAAGCAACTGTGCCTTCTCCTTTGGGGCCGGGGCGGGGGGGGGGGGGGGGGGGGGGGGGGGAGTCCTTCCCGCGACCTATCTTGTCCAGGTCGTTCCTGGGGGTCCCTGCCTACACTTCACAGCCCTTCCCTCCAAGCTGCCTCTCTGAGAAGTCAGCATGCATTTGTTTATTCACCCAGCCTTTATTGAGTATCTCCAGTGTGCCAAGCACTAGGCATAAGCTTGGCAATAAGCAAGACAGAGCTGACATTCTAGTAAGGGAGACAGATGATAAATAAGAACAAAAAAAAAATAACATATTTTACTTTGAAATGGTGATTAAATTCAAGGAAGAAAATAAAGGGGATAGGAGTGGAGTGACCTGGAAGGCAGGGGCTCCTAGATCCAGAGTAATCTGTGGAGGCCACTAAGATGATGTTTGAGCAGAGACCTCAGTGATGAGAGAGACCCAGCCATACAGGGTTCTGGAGGAAGAGCATTCCAGGCAGCAGGAATAATTGCAGAACCCCCAAATCTCCCAGTGTGGCCACAGCAGAGAGAATCGGGGTGAGAAAATACGAGAGGAGGGCAAGAATGTAGAATCTGGGGTTTAATTCTAAGCGTAACGTAAAGCTAGTAGAAAGTTTTAAACAAATGAGTGACATGATCCAATTTCATGGACTCTAAGGGCCCAGGACCGGATGATGAAAGGCCAGTGAGGAGGCTGTGGCAATAATACCCGCAAGAGTGATGGGGGCTTGAAGGAGGGCGGTAGCAGTGGAGGGTGAGAAGCAGTCATGCAGGGTTTGGACCCACAGGCACTATGCTTGCTCAGAGTCACAAACCCAGCTCCAAGAGCGCCCACATGTGCACACAGGCCCACACACGCACATGGGGAGACACGTGTTCCCACACCCATGGCACTAGACACTAGATATACTCATGCAGACCCACCCGTCCACACCCTCTGAGTCATTCCAGCACTGGGAGAAAAATGTGTCATTCGGGGGCCTGAATACAGTATGTCTCCCTACCGTAAAGCCCTGGCATCCGGCATGCCTGGGGGAGCTGGCGCTCCCCCCAGCTCTGGCACGGGGAGGGGAGGTTGTCTCTAGAGTTTCCCTGGATCTGGTGTGCCAGGAGCCAGACCATTATTACATCCCCCATTCACCCCCAACCTGAGCTGGTCTCCCAACTTCACCACCTACTGACTGTGAGACCCTGGGGGAGGTTATTTCTTCTCTCCAAGCCTGTTTCCTCTCTGTAGAATGGGGCTTATCGGGGAGGAAGAATTTCCTTCGCCCTCCAAACTCCTTCTCGCTGGACTACGAATGAAATTGACATGAGACAAAGTAACAGGAGAAAATCTAGTTTAATTTCATATGTATGGGGAATCCACACGGATAGGAAATTCCAAAGACAGGCAAAATGAGGTATATATGTCATCCTGAACTAAAGAGAAGGGAATAGGGGTCAGGGACTTCAAAGGGAAGGAATACAATTCACAGAAGATGAAAATGAATAAATATTTGGGAAACAAATGTTTGCCAGGCCACTCAGAAACCATGGGATGTAGAGGATTTTGATCAAATAAGCCTTGCTAGGTTCCCCCCTGTCTACCATACCTAGTTCATATAAAAATGTAGTTATCTGTGGTGATAACTTATCTTCCTGGAGCTGGTCCTCTATATGAATTCTTTTAGGCAGTTGAAAGAGAGGTAAAGAGCTTTTCCTGAATCTGATGGGTTTTGATTGCTTTTAACTCAAAGCAATCTACATGCCAAAGTGGCCTATTTTGGGGTGGCCTGCCCTTGGCCCCTACAGGCCCATAGCCCCGCCCTCACAAGACAGTAGCAAGGCATGGATGAAGTAAGTTGCAAGAACCTGGCCTGGGACAGGCATCCAGCAGGGAAGGGGAGAGGAGGTGGTGGATAGCATAGCCTGGCACCAACAGCCCAACCTAGAATCCAACTGTAGTTTTAAATGGGTGACTTGCCCTCTCTAGATTTCACAATGAGTGGCCAGCATTTATTGAGCACTTACTCTGTGCTAAGTGCTTTACAACTGTTCTCTTCATCTGTAAATGAGGAGCATAATACTATCTACCTCGTGGGGTCATTGTAAGGACTAAAGGAGATAATGTTGCACCAAACGTTTAGCTTGGTGGCTGGCTCACAGTAAATGCTGCATAAATGGCCATTGTTTATCAGCGTGCACATCCCCTTCCTTCCCCGCATACAAGCTCTGTGACTTTTGGCAGGTTACTTAACCTCTCTATGCCCGTATCCTACCTGCAGCTCGGGAAGAGTAACAGTGCTCATCTCAAAGGGTCATTGGATGATCGCATGAATCCATCCGCATAAAGAACTCAGAACAGCACCTGGCACGTAGGCAATGCTCAACAAATGTCACCTGGTCGTGAACATACAGCTTCTCCTTTTATTCTGTCAGGCAGGCACGGCCCCCAGCACCCCCGCCGGGCACCATGGACTGGAAGACGCTCCAGGCCCTCCTGAGCGGCGTGAACAAGTACTCCACGGCGTTCGGGCGCATCTGGCTGTCGGTGGTGTTTGTCTTCCGCGTGCTGGTGTACGTGGTGGCCGCAGAGCGCGTGTGGGGGGACGAGCAGAAGGACTTTGACTGCAACACCAAGCAGCCGGGCTGCACCAATGTCTGCTACGACAACTTCTTCCCCATTTCCAACATCCGCCTCTGGGCCCTGCAGCTCATCTTCGTCACGTGCCCCTCCCTGCTGGTCATCCTGCACGTGGCCTACCGCGAGGAGCGCGAGCGCCGCCACCGCCAGAAGCACGGGGACCAGTGCGCCAAGCTGTACGCCAACGCGGGCAAGAAGCATGGCGGCCTGTGGTGGACCTACTTGTTCAGCCTCATCTTCAAGCTCGTCATCGAGTTCCTCTTCCTCTACGTGCTGCACACTCTCTGGCACGGCTTTGGCATGCCGCGCCTGGTGCAGTGTGCCAACGTGGCGCCCTGCCCCAATGTCGTGGACTGCTACATCGCCCGGCCCACCGAGAAGAAGGTCTTCACCTACTTCATGGTGGGGGCCTCTGCGGTCTGCATCGTGCTCACCATCTGCGAGATCTGCTACCTCATCTTCCACAGGGTCCTACGGGGCATAACCAAGAACAAGTCCCCCAAAAACCGCAGCCTCCCATCCTCCACCAGCCGGGCCTCCACCTGCCGCTGCCACCACAAGCTGGTGGAGGCCGGGGAGCTGGGCTCCGACTCCGGTGACGACAAGAGGCACGCGTCAGCACCCACCATGACCCCTATCTGACCACAGGCTGGGGAGAGGCCCTGGGTGCCCCCCCCCCCGCCCCGTTGAATTCCCTAATCTATCCAATTTCATTTCTGGCAGACTTCCTGAGCACTGGGCACTGCGCTGTCTGCCTGGGTGTAAGTCTCCTACCCCAGAGCCGGCCAGCCCTGGGTGGGGACGGACACTGAAACAAGCAAATTAGCTACTGCATGCAAAGGGACACTGAGGGGACTTGCACCTAACCCAGGAGGGGGTGCCCAGGAGAGGCTTTGCTGAGGAAGTAATGTTTGAGAGAGGTGGGAAGCGCTTCCCAGCGGAGACAACAGCAGGTGCAGAGGCCTGGAGGCCACAAAGCGGGAGATACTTGCCCTGGTTGGAGGCACCAGATCAAAGGGAATCTCCATTTCCTTGGAGACTTCTGGGGAGGGAAGGAAATAGTCGCTAAGCAGTGGGAGGTCTGAGGCCTGAGAGTGAGCCTGTGACGAGGAGCAGGAGGAGGCGACTCGAGCCCCTGCCTGAGATATGCAAGGACCCTCCCAGTCCCCACTGCCTTCAGGGGAAGCCCCCCTCTGCCCAGTCCTCCTCCCCCCAGGTTCAGACAGCTTTGCTCCCATCTTCTCCCCATAAATGTGCTCAGCCTGGTGCCAGCCTCCCAGACCATGCTCCCAGAGACTCGAGGTAGATGTTCCTTGAAATCAATAAAGGCTCTGTTTTATACAGGTTGGCTCCGTCCTCTGTTCTCCACTCCCACCCACGAGACCTGAGGGCAGGGAAGGTAGCCCTCAGGAGGGGAGAGAGCTATATGTCTGTGGGTGAGGCTAGGATGGGGCTGTGGCCAAGGCTGGAGCAGAAGCTGGGCTGGGGCGGGGGTTGACCCACGTGGGGATGTGGGACGGAACCTCCCAATATATATGTTGTGATTATAGGTATGGTCACAAGAGGGCGCTGTGCTCCCTCTGCAACTGAGCTTCTAGCATTTATAGTAAGACCCTGCCCTGAGCACGCGCAGGATCAACTGTCCTCTCTGTAGACAAGTCACACCCCCTCCACCTTTATAACCCAATCACTGCCATCAACAACCCACATCCCCACCCTGTGTACACAAAACTCCTGTTATTCATACTCTCACTCTTTATATATGCTCACAACAGCCGGGTTTTCTCCTCTAAAGATGTGAGTCTCAGCGTCACTCAAGCATTATTCATCTCCTTCCACTTTCCCTGAGCATTTTTGGCACAGGAGGGCGCTGGCAGGATGTTGAGACTGCACAGGGGAATAGGAGCTGAACTCAAACAGCCCAGAGCCCGGGGGGGGGGGGGGGGGGGGGGAGAAACAGACTCATCTTCTGCACCAACCAACTGCTCGAGTGGTTCACAGCCCCACTCCCAGGACTGTGTGGTGACCTGCAATTTAGAGGACACCAACATCCAGGCCAGACCAGAGTGGGAAGCAAAAGGGGGTGCAGGGCTCTAATAATCCAGAAAAACACCTAGTGATCAGAGGCCAGGAGCCAGAAATCTAGGAGCAGTGTGAGCCAAGAGCCAATGCAGGCAGGGAGAAAGCAGATCACCGCGTCCACAGAACTGGCTGTGGTTCACCTTTGCTCTTATGTGCGGTCATTAGTGGGGTGGGTAAGCCAGCCAAGCTTCAAGGGCCTGGGGTTGGGCTGACACCCACCCCCCAGGTCTGAATCATAGCTTAACCACGTCATGACCACTGTCACTACACTGCACCGTGGGCAAGCGTTCAGGATTTCAGTCTTGTCATCAGTACAGCAAATTGCATCAGTCAGGGGCCCAACAAGAAACAGATGGCACAATCAAACCCAGTAACTTTCAAGAGTTTCCTTGAGGGATTGTTTTTAAAAGGTATGGGCATGATTGGGGCGCCCGGGTGGCTCAGTTGGTTAGGCGTCCAACTCTTGATTTTGGTTCAGGCCATGATCTCAGGGTCATGAGATCGAGCCCCATATCAGGCTCCATGCTGGGCGTGGAGCCTGCTTGAGATTCTCTCTCCCTCTCCCTCTGCCACTCCCCCTACTCGTGCTCCCTCCCTCTCTCTCTCTCTCTCAAAAGAAAAAAAAAAATCGAAAGGTATGGGCATAATTAAGGAAACCCACAAAGACCACTTCAGCGCCCTGGGGCTAGTGACAGGGTTGCCAGACAGGGACCACATTGGAGTTGCAAGGATGCATTCAACCCGGCGACCAAATAAATCCCCCAACTTCACTTTTGCATCTCCTGCTCACAGGCCAGTGGCTCCCACCGACCCAGCCCAAACAGAATCCGGAGGGCAAGGGAGCCCTGTGAGGCAGTCGGTAGGGCTCGGCCTCCCGGGGCACAGAGCAGGGTGGAGAGTTGATCCAAGGGGCAAGGGGACCATGTTCAGCCTGGCACTCAGAACAGTACCTACTCCTAGGATGGTTGTAGAGATAAAAGGAGACACTGAAGGTAACACAGCAGTACGGTGCTAATATATCTAGTAAATATCCTGACACCAGCATGCCTGCTGCCCAGACCACAGCACAGGTCAGACACAGCTCAGACTGGATGGTTGTAAAGGTCTCAGGGAAGGGTGATGTCTCCTACTTGCTGCCAGACACCCCAGCATCTTCCAGGACGGTTTCAGCCGCCTGATCACTGGTGGCTTGGAGGTCAGAGCACCCGGAGGATGTCATCGGCGATCCCAGCACAACTGATCTTCTCCAGGTTGTGGACGAGGACCGTGGATGAGGGAATGTCCCCGCTCTGTGTGTCCTACCTGTGGCCTGAGAGCTGTTCTGAGTGGGGCAGCTCACTCCTCCCATCCAGGATGTGTTCACCATCCAGAGTCCCCAGCACACCAGGCTGTTACCACAGGGTGGCTCTCATGTCCCCCGGCCTTCTGTTCTCGGGGCCCACACTTCTATCTCCTCCTTCCCCATCGCATGAGGATTCACTTGCAAGCTTCCTTCCATCATGGATAGGATAGATTTAGATTTCAGAGACACAGCCCTCACAGCCCCACCTACTGCAGGAAGCTGCCCCACCATGCAGCCCAAGGTAAACATCTCGTATTCACCACCCTGGTCCAAGCCTCCTATTACAGACTGAATGTTTGTGTCCTCCCAAAATTCATACGTTGAAATCCTAATTTCCAATGTGATGGCATCGGGAAGTGGGGCCCTTTCGAGATGGAGCCCTCAAGAATGGGATTAGTGCCCTTAGAAGAAGAGACACACGAGGAATGAACTTTCTCTCTTCACCATGTGAGACACCATGAGAAGCCAGCCCTGCAGAAACCGGGAAGAGGGTCTTCACCAAGACCCCAACCATGCCGGCACCCCGATCTTGGACTTGCAGCCTCCAGAACTGCGAGAAGTAAATTTCCATGGTCTGCTCCCTGCCCCAGTCCGCAGTATTCTGTTCTAGCAGCCTGAGCTAAAACAACCGCATCATCTCACCCCTGGGTTACTACAACAAGGCCCCTGCTTCCTGCCCTGACCCTGGGGAACAGAAGAATGGGAAGGGGAGGGAGCAGAATGGAGGGACAAGACATGTGGCGGGCCGTAGTGTCCATTCGACAAAGATGGTCCGTGAGAGGAGTCCCTGACCCCCGCTTGGCTCAGTCCCTGCCTGGGGCCACCCCACGGCTGGAGCAGACCCAAGAGAGCTAGCAGCTGGAGGCTGTCAGCTGCCCAGACTCCCACAGCAGGGCAACAAGACCTGCCATGAAGGCGGAGGGCCACCTTCGCCACTCACACCCTCAGTCTACTCTCCGCACCACAGTCCCGGTGAGCCTGTAAAACCCAAGTCAGGCCATGTTGCTCCCCTGCCCAAACCTCCTGAGACACCTCACACGGGCCTTGAGGGGCCTCTAAGATCTGCCCCACCCCACACCTTCCATGTTCTCCAGCATACTTCTTTTGCTCACCTCACTCCAGCCACACTGACCTCCTTGCTGTCCCTCGAGCAGGAAACACCAGGCACACTCCTGTCTCAGGGCCTTTGCACTCTCTGTTCCCTCCTCCAAAAGGCTCTCCCCCCCCCCCCCCCCCCCCCCGGAGAGCCACAGGGCTCCCTCCCTTCCTTCACATTATGCATCAGATGTCAGCCCCTTAGTGAGAGTATCTCCTCTCTTCTATTCAACATCAAAACTGCACCCCCTGCACCCTCCACCCTCCCTCCCTCCCTGCTTTCCACACAGCATTTATCACCATCCAGCAGGTTCTGTGTTCTGTCTCCCCATAGCTAGAGTATAAAATCCACAAGGACAGGGACATTGGTTGTCATCCCCTGGATGGTCTCCAGTGTCTAAGACAGTGCCACAGCACCCAGTGGGTGCTCAGTTCACATTTGTTGAATTAGTAAATTCATACATGGGCCTGGTGCCTTGCTAGGTGCTGGAGATGTAAGCAAGACCCAGCTGCCTGCCCTCAAGGGGGCCCGCAGTCTAATGGGGCAGGATGGGAGGGGGTAGACACAGGTAAATGATGCACCTAGGGTAGGAGGAGGGGAAATGGGGAGTTGTTTAACTGGTACAGAGTTTCAGATTTGCAAGATGAGTAAGTTCTGGAGGGGCGCCTGGGTGGCTCAGTCGTTAAGCGTCTGCCTTTGGCTCAGGTCATGATCCCAGAGTTCTGGGCTCGAGCCCCGCTTCGGGCTCCCTGCTCCGCAGGAAGCCTGCTTCTCCCTCTCCCACTCCCCCTGCTTGTGTTCCCTCTCTCGCTGTCTCTCTGTCAAATAAATAAATGAAATATTCAAAAAAAGAAAAGGAAAAGTTCTGGAGTTCTGTCCCTCAGCAGTGGGAATGTACTTAACACTACTAATGGTACATTTTTAAATGGTTAAGACAGTAAATTCTATGTTGCATGTTTTTTACCACCATTAAGAAAAGAATTTTAAAAAACAACAACAACAAATTCCCAAAATAAAACAATGGACCCAGGAGCAGTACCTGAGCCGCGGACAGCACAAAGGCTCACCTAAGCCGGTGGAGGCGGAGGCCGGCAAGGGGACTTGTGGGAGAAGGCGACATAG